CCATTAATCTTGCTGATTTCCAACATAAAATATTTGATAAGGATAATTCAAATAAGGAATGTAATTTGAATTCAAAATTTGAGTTAATTAAGGATAAGGTAGAGGAGATGGATCACGAAGGTGGGTTTTGTTAAGAAAGGAAGGTGTGGGCTGAGATAAAAGAAACAAATGGGCTAGAAACAAATGTTTTTACCAATGGGCTTGGTAAAGTGGGCCGTTTAAATTTAAGAGGGTTTTACAGAATTGTGGAGGCCTGGTCCACAAACCTTTGTTTGTTGGGTAGAGCTCGAATGATAGGGCTCTTTCACACGGGCAAAGGGCTATCTCCATAGATGAAACAAAGGCTCTCCTCAAAGTTGAAAACTGATGGTTAAGGTTGCTGAAGCTGATCGTCGAGCAAGGGGGGGAGTGGAGCCTCTGATGACAATGGGCAAAGGAAGTAGTGAAAAAGGAACTATAGCTATAGAGGAGATTTGCGATGGTTGGCAGAGTCAAAGGGAAGATTTTGAGGTCTGTTTCAACAGTGTGGATGGGGAGAGGGACATAAATTTGTTTTCATAAGATGAGGAAGATTGCTGTGAGAACTTCCAAAGATATAAAGTAGCTGACAAAGAGGTAAAAAAGATAGTTAAAAACGCTATGTTAAAAGCCTACGATGAGTTTTGCAAAAAACTAGACAGTAAAGAGGGAGAAAAAGACATTTATAAATTAGCTAAAATTAGAGAAAGAAAACAAGAGACTTTAACCAAGCTAAGTGCATCAAAGGCGAGGACTCAAAGGCTTTAGTTAAAGATGAAGAAATAAATGATCGGTGGAAAGACTATTTTGAGAAACTATTAATGAAAATCACTTAAGAAACTTAGAAGAGATAGAAAATTGAAGGATTCATGAAATGTTCTTTCATAAGATAAAGAATTCAGAGATAGAGTTTGCATTGAAAAAAATATAATTAAGCAAGACTTTAGGACTAGATGAGATTCTAATTGAAGTTTGGAAGTGCTTAGGGAATGAGGGGGTCTCGTGGCTAACGAAATTATTCAATAGAATTATTGGCACTAAGAAAATACCCAATGAATGAAGAAAAAGTATTTTAGTAACTATCTATAAAAACAAAAGAGATATTTAAAATTGTAATAATTATAGAGAGATAAAATTGATGAGTTATACAATAAAACAATGGGAAAGGGCCATTGAATGTCGCCTAAGAGTTGAGACTACAGTTTCTAAAAATCAATTTGAGTTTATGCCGAGTAGGTCAACTATGGAAACTATATATTTATTGAGAATACTCATAAAAAAATATAGAGAAGAAGAAAAATCTCCATATATTATTTATAGATCTAGAAAAAAACGTATGATAAAGTGCTTAGAAATATAATATGTAAGGTGCTTCAGAGAAAAGGAGTGACGAATAGGTAAATTGAGATGATAAAGGATACGTATGCCGAGGCTAGGACTACAATTAGGTCTTTTGTGAGAGAAAATAAAGAATTGTCAATCATGGTTGGATTACACTCGGGATAGGCCCCAAGTCCATTACCTATTTGTCCAAATTATGGATAAACTCACTAGGCATATTTAACATGATGTCCCATGGTGTATGTTATTTACAAATGAATATACTAGGGAGATTAACTCACTAGGGAGATTAACAATAAGCTAAAAATTTGGAGAGAGCACTCGAGTCGAAAGGATTTAAAATAAGTATCAGTAAGACTGAATATATGCAATGCAATTTTAATAATAGAAGAAGTAGACATAGTGAAAAAATTAAGATTGAAAATCAAGAAATACCAATGAGTAAACGATTTAGATATTCTAGGATCAATCATTAAAAATAGTAGAGAGATTGGAGATGCTGTAACTCAAAGAATTAATGACAGTTGGCTTAAGTGGAGGAAAACCTCTGGCATATTAGGTCATAAAAGGATACCAATAAAATTGAAGTGTAAGTTTTACCGAACAACTATAAGGACAACAATATTGTATAGGACAGAATGTTGGGCAACTAGGAAACAACATACTGACAAAATGAATAGCGGAAATGAGAATGTTAAGGTGGATGTGTGAAAAAACTAAAAAAGATAGAATACAAAATGGTCCTATTAGAGAAATCATAGGAGTAACGCAAGCCCCAGTTCGAAAAAGCGATAGAATTTCTCTTAATGATACTAGAAGTAGGGGTAGACCTAAATTAACATTGAACGAAATAATAAATAAATATATGAAAATAATTAACTTAAATGAGTGTATAACGTATGATCAAAATGAATAGCGAAGACGGACTCATATAACCGATCTCAAATGATTAGGACATAAGACTTGATTTGGTTTGATTACAAAGATTGTTGTGATGCTATGGTTGCTGCGAAAGTGGTATGACAGTGCCGAGTTGGAGAAGAGTTCGAAGGATTCATTATATCACTACGATATTGATAACGGGAGAAAGGTACAAACTGATGAGGTATATGGTGATATTGCAAGAAAGTTTATTGATGATAGCTTGATTTATGTTCAAGAAGAAGGTAATATGATACTATCCTCGTACTTTTGAAGGTAATATTTCCCAAAAAATCCCAGTGATGGTTTCTCCAGCGGATGTTCTTTATTTGGGGAATGGGTGTGTCAATGTCAGTGCTCATTCTGGTGATTTTCTTCTTTCAAGGGTGGGAGTGTCAATATCCATACTAGTTCTGGGTCTAATGGTGTTGCTGGGATGACATGGAATTGAGTGAGAAAATGGCGATGTTTTCTTCTGCGAAGGATGGGTGTGGGGATGGGTATAGAAAAGAATTGGTTTTCCACAAACTATGATGTAGCTAATTCAGGTCCACGGGGAGAATAGACATTTGCGGTGTCTGGGTGAACCTGGTTCAGGTTTATTAGGTGTTCCACTTATTACTGCCTATGATCCAATATTCAAAATTGATGATAGATGTCCCATAATTAATGTTGGTCTAATGAACTCTGATGCTGTGACCACTGAGACAATAGTGAGCTTTAAGGGTGAAAGGAATAGATGAAGGAGGTAGGGATAATATAATGAATGCTTCCTGTTGGATGAGAAAAAATGGGTTGTGTTAAAGAATTTTTTTATATAAAATGGATTTGTTTCTAGTTCCATCAAAAAAAAAAGGGGGAAGCAAAAACATGAATGTAGAAATGAGAGGAAGAGAAAGGGAGTAGGAGAGTTAAAAAATTTAGAGTCGGGGATAGATTATTAGGGAGGTAGTTGTAAGAAAGGTGGGGAGGGATCTATAGTTTGTTATGAAGATTGTTAAGTTGGAATGCTAGAGAATTAGGGTCGAGGATGAAAAGGTTTTCAATAAAGGTGTTTTTGGGAAGAATTGAGACAGATATAGTTATTTTACAAGAAACTAAGTTGGAGGTCATTGATAAGAGAGACATTAGTAGTGTTTGTGGTCTAGGTTCTGGAATTGGGTTTTTCTATTTTCTGTAGGAGTACACGTGGTGTTGTCATCATTTGGGACGAGAGATCTACGAGCATGGAAGAAACTCGAGGGAGAATTTACTATTTCAATTAGAGTTAAGCACAGGGAGGGATATGTCTGGTGGTTTATCGGGATTTATGGCCCTAAAAAGCCTAGGATTAGGGTCTCAATTGTGGGAATAATTATTAGGGCTATATAGGGTGTGTGGTTATAGATGGTGTATAGGGGAGATTTTAAGGTTATAAGGTCTCCAAAGGAGAGGATGAATGGGGGAGAACAACAAAAAGTGTTGAAAGATTTTGATTCTTTTAATAGGGAAACCGAGTTTAAGGATGCTACTTCATGCTCTAGCTTTCCATTTCAGGAAAGGACGATGTACTATGATACTTTCTGTTTTGTCGAGCCTTGATTTAGTCTCTGGTTTGACGGTTGTATGTGCAAAAAATCTGGTACACTCCGTTTTGTTTCCTATCCTAGTCTTTTGCAACACTTCAGTATACTTCTTTTATTTGGTCCCCCCTGGGCAAATGGAGTGTTTACATGGTCTAATGGTAGAACAGTCATGGTGTGTAAACAACCAATCCATATCTTACAATCAAGAGCAAACTGTCTAGTAAAGCCTGAATTCTACTACCATATTAGTACAGAACCTATAATAAAAGGGGGCTGCGAGCACCCCCCTTTTTTCCCCCTCCCCCCCAATTCATTTCTCATAATAGCACCCCTACCAGCAACGCCAGGATTACTCTTGGCAACATAACCATTTACTAACTACTGGAATACCCAACTTCTAAATCCTAGAATCTAGAGGAAGAGCATCCAACAAAGTTTTCCAACCAATCAGCATAGCACTAGGGGCTGTGTTCAATCCCCAAATGGCAACAACAACCTCATTCCTTACCCCTTGCTTTCTAATCACTTGCCAAGCTGATTTAACAGAAACAACCCCAGCATTAGTCTGTCGCCACACTAGTTTATCAGATATACCAGACAAAGAAATATCAGAATTCAAAATTTCTCCTCTAAGCTATTCAGGCAAAAATTCCTTCACCTCACCCAAACACCACTGAGAGTCCAGACACTTCAGAAAACTTAGGAAAAAAAATAAGGAGATCCCTTAATTCTTTTCAACAAAGGCACATCATTCAACCAACAATCACACCAGAAATCTACAAAAACTCCATTCCCAATAATGACTTTTGATTGAAGCATAACTCTTTAAAAAAAAAGGCCTTAAAGATTTATAACACTTTGCACGCCCCTTACCTAAGCTTCTCAAAATATGCCTCCCTTTTCAGAATTTTGTAGAAAAGATTTTAGCCCACAAAGAAGAACCCTCCATGATATTCCAGACTGGTTTAGGGTTTTAGGGTTTAGGGTTTAGGATTTTAGGGTTTTAAGGTTTATGGTTTAGGGTTTAGAGTTTAGAGGGAGGAAGCACTTACTTTGTTTTAGAGAGAGAAGGTCTGACTTCTCTCTAGAAACTATTTTTTTCTTTTTCCAGATCTACTTTGTTTCTAACTGAATTTTCACGTTTTGATTGTAAAATCTTTAGATTGTTACTGTTTTTTGCTTGATTTACCATGAATTCTGGTCCAAAACCTCATCAAATTCCCCCAAAACCACCGGACATCACAAAAAATTATGACTCCTTGTTTAAGAAATCGTCAGTTGTGGACATTTCTCAAACACGTCCTGTTGCTTCAGAGATTAACTCCTTCACATTTGTGGATCCTTTTGGATGTTGTAATTCCATGACTATGCCTCTTATTTCAAACGAAAATGGAAGAAAGTCGAATGTTCACTTTGCCTCTGTTCTTCCTTTGACTGTGTCAATTTCTGCGAAAAAACAAATGCCTTCTTCGGGGTTAGGAACTCAGGTCCCTATTGATTCCTCCATTGATCGAAACACTCAGGGAATGAATTTATTGCCTCAATCTACTTTGATTTCTCAACCAATTTCGACTTCGAAAGGTAGTTCGATGGATCGAGTTTTACCAATTTCTCAGATCTCTGATCCTGAGAAGAGAATTCAGACTCCAGTTGTTATTCCGAATGTTCAGAATTCTTCTGTTATTCAAGTTCCTTCTTCTACAATTTTATTTGGCTCTTTAAATTCCGCGACTCCTCCAAAACCTGCTAAGAGAGTAGTGTTTAACAAAGGGGAGCCTGGGATGTATTGGTCCCTTGTTGAAACTATGGAACTGTCTAAAGGATTTAATCAGACACTTATTGGTAAATGTGCCTATGGTAAACCTTCAATGGGTGTGGTGAAAGAATTTATCAAATCTAGATGGCTTTTAAAAGGGGAGTTTTCTGTAGGAGTGTTAGATCCAAGACATGTACTGATCAAATTTTCTCTTTACGAGGACTATGTTAAAGTGTGGTTGAAGGATACTACTTACATTGAGGGCTTCCTCTTTAAGTTTTTCAAATGGTTCCCAGAGTTTTATCCTGGGATTGAGGCACCTGTATGGGTGTCCCTGCCTGGCCTTCCAATCCATCTCTTTAATAGAGAAAGTCTGCGAGATATTTTAAGTCCAGTGGGCAGGATTCTGGTGATAGACAATGCTACTCTGGTCTTTCTAGGCCTGGTGTGGCCAGGGCTTGTGTGGAAATGAATCTTCTGGCCAGTAATCCTAAGAGATTCTGGTTAGNAAGTTTTTCAAATGGTTCCCAGAGTTTTATCCTGGGATTGCGGCACCTGTTGTACCTGTATGGGTGTCCCTGCCTGGCCTTCCAATCCATCTCTTTAATAGAGAAAGTCTGCGAGATATTTTAAGTCTAGTGGGCAGGATTTTGGTGATAGACAATGCTACTCTAGGTCTTTCTAGGCCTGGTGTGGCCAGGGCTTGTGTGGAAATGAATCTTCTGGCCAGTAATCCTAAGAGATTCTGGTTAGACATGGGGGGAGTCAATGATCATTGGCAGAGGATTGTATATGAAAAGGAATATAAGTATTGTCCTGCTTGTCTTAAGCAAGGACATGATGAAATGTTGTGTAGAAGGAAGAAGAGAGTGGAAGGTGATGCCTCTGAGAATAAGCAAACAACTGGGAATGTTTTAAGTCATGATGAGGAATGGAGGAAGAAGAAAGGAAAAGCTGTGGATATAGATGGCATGAATGTGCATCCCAGGAAGGAATATAGACAAAAAATCATGACCCAAACTACTGCTGTGGGAAATAGTTTTGTTGTGCTGAATGAGGAGGTTGTAGTGGAGGAACTGGATAATGATAGGAATTTATCTGTACAAGTCCAGAAAATATTACCTGAAAAGGTTATTGAAAATGGTGAATCTTCTTCTATTATGGTGAGGATTAACGATTCTGCAAATCCAAATGATACAACTGTTGCTTTTGACTTGGGTAATGCAAGGGAGATTGTTGTGAAGGATATGGAAAATGGTAGAGATATGCCTTTATTGGGACAACCAATTTTCTCTGATAAGATTACTGATATTGGAGCATCTAATGCTGATGAGATGATTACTGAACCAGTTCCACAGGATATAAATAATGATTTTGATATTGTCATTGCTGTAGCAAGGGATAGTGGAATTCAAAAAGGGGATACTGTGAGAGTTGATGTTGGGAATCTTGATAATTCTTAGGTGGTTTTTGATTGTGGAATTCAAGGTGGTGATGGCCCTGAAATTGCTGCTGTCAGATTGGAGGATCCTATTCTGCCAGTTCATGAGGGTGCTAATTTGGAGATTTTTTCCTCTTCCTCCCCTACTTTTTTGCCTTCTGCTAGTGAGGTGGTTAATGTTGGAGACATTGGAGGAAATAAGGTTATTATTGAGGAAAATTTAGCTCCTATTAGTAATGATATGAATGATCCCAACCTTGTGGAAGTCCTTGGAGAGTGTAGAACTCTTTATGCTCAATCCTTGGGCTCTTTCTTTTTAGTGGAACATGAATTTACAGTCAAGAAAGGGAGTCAGAATTCTTTAGATGATCAGAATAGTTTGGTTAGAGTGAGAGAACCTCCAGATAAAGGTTACTACTCTGATCAGGCCAGCTCTAGAACTCAGAAGATCGTAAATGTTGATTATGATAATTCTGGAAGTTCTTTTGAAGAAAATGAGGATGGTAATGGATTTAGTTCTAGTGACGTTCCTTCTCCTATGAACTTATGATTAATCTTCTATCATGGAATATGAGAGGGGCAGGTAAAGATGCCAAGAGGAGGAGATTAAAGAAACTTATTAAATTGCATGATGTTTGTCTTGTTGCAATTCAAGAGCCTAAATTGTTGGTGTCCAAATTGGTTCCTTTTGCTAGGAGTATTGGTCTAGAGCATTTATGTTCTAACGCTTTAGCATAAAGGAATATTTGGGTATTATGGGATGAGAGAATCAAGTTGAAGGTAATGTTTGAGCATGCCCAAGTATTGACTGTGGAAATAACTTTTATGAGTTCACTTGTTTTTTGGGTCTCTATTGTATATGCTAGTTGTGATCTTTTATTGAGAAGGCTTTTATGGGGGCATCTGTTGGATATTGTTGTTCCTCCTGATGTCCCTTGGTTGGTTGTTGGTGATTTCAATACAATTTTGTCCTCTGCTGAA